GAGAGAGAGAGAGAGAGAGAGAGAGAGAGAGAGAAGACAAGCTGCCAGATCCAGGACTTGAACCATGGTCAGCCATGTGGGAGTCTAGTGCCTTAATCTCCATGCCACCTGATGGCTCCGGAGAGGGTTCTCTTGATGAGAGCAGGATTCTGCATGGTTTTTGACTTTTCATCTCAGGAGCAGAAAGATGCAAATGCATGTTAGTCTTAGGGAAAATCAGACTTGACTCATCCCTTTGGTGAAATTGAGAGGCCTTTCCCAGGCTACTAGTCATTCCTCAGGCCCAGAAGGGAAGGAGAGTGGAAGGCGTGGGAAGTGGAATGGAGTGGCTGCCCTCCTTCCCTAGCTCTTAGCTGTGGTAACCTGGGTGAGCCAGGTCTGGAGCTGGCTGCAGTGAGAACAAAAATGTAGGTCCACTGTACCTGCTTTACTTGACTTTGTGAACCTGGAAAGCAAAACCAACCGAGAATTCACATATCACCCTGGATTGAGGTGACAAGGACTATGTAGGAAACAAAGATTTTTGGAAGGGAGACATTACTTGCAATGGATGGAATGATGTTTTCATATTTTCTTTTGGACTTCAGTGGTATTAGCTGACTATCCTCTAGCTGGCCCCTGGCTTGGTAGCTAAGGGAGCCAGATCCTGCATGATCCAAGGCAGCTTGAATCTTGACCCTGGTTTGGAAATCATGCGAGGGACATGTCCATGCATGCCACAAATCCCAACAGAATGGAGAAATGGAGAAGGGTTTGATTGCAGTATGACCACACCCCACTGGAAGGTGCTTTCTCCCTCTTCTCAGTCTCTCTGTCTTTCTCTGGCAAGTGCCTATCCCCTCTGGTGATTAAAAACATATCAGCTCTCCTTAGGATTTTGAAGGGCTCTTTTGAAGGAAAGTATGTATTTTATATCATTGATTTGGGGACGGGTTTAAGGAGCAGGGTGGAGATGTGTTCAAATTCAATGATCTTAGGACAGCACATCTAGAATGTGTTTTTTTTCCCCCCCTCATTTTGTTTTGTTTTAAAAAAAATTATAGATTCATAGGAACTTGCAGAAAAATATTAGGTTGCCAGGAAAGTAATGATATATCTTTGTTGTTTTTCTATGGAAAATATGTCATGACTTTCCTGACAACCCGGTGTGACTCCATATACAGGGAGGCCCTAATGTGTAGGGAGGCTCCATGTACCCTTCACCCTGTTTCCCTAATGGTGATATCTTGTGTACCTGAAGTACAGCATCGTCATGAGCACAGCACACGATCACTTTCATCAGTTGAAGTCCACAAATTCAGCTGCATCATTTTATCTGCTTATGTGACTTAGAGCCATGAAAGCCCATTGGGAATTGACATTGATACAGTCCACAGAGCATGTTCAGATTTCCCCAGCTGAACCTGCACGTGTGTGTGTGTGTGTGTGTGTGTGTGTGAGTGTATGTGTGTTTTGAGGGATAGTTAAATTGGTAGTTTGATTCTTTTTTTAAAAAGGGTTACTTATTTCATTTTAATGATTAATTCACTTATTTAAATTTGACCAGAGAGACACACATACAGAGAGGGCAGAGGGGAAGGCGCGGGAGAGAGGGAAAATGAGAAAACAAGCACCAGGTCTGGGGCTCAAACTGTGGTTAGCCATGTGGGGTTGTCTAGCACCTTAATCACCATTGCACCTGTTGGTCCCAGTAGCTTGATTCTTTTTATTCCCCCCCAAAAAGTCTCTGGTTTTTATTAGGTTCATTTACCAATCTTTGAGATTCTCCAATCATTTTTAAAAATTTTTTAAATTTAATTTTATTTATTATCATAATCTTTTTTTTTTTTTTGAGAGGTTTTTGCTGTAGGGTGCGTGTGCTCGCCAGACAGACAGAGAGAGACAGAG